TTTTTCTCCCCATCATTGGACTCTGTCGTCTGCTCTCTGGCCCATATCCTCCACTTCTACTAGCTAGACGACCCAACCGGGGTCACACAGGAGGGGGGGGCTGGACCCCCTCCTGCGGTTTCTGCCCGGGGTATTTTCATCGCGAGAAGGGTACAGCAATCCCTTCCTTCGCGACTAATGGTTTACTAAGNGGTCGGAACATCGGCACGAATTTTCGATACCGATATCGATATATATCGTGTACATCGTTCCGATTCACAACTCTAATATTTTTTTTTCTCCCCATCATTGGACTCTGTCGTCTGCTCTCTGGCCCATATCCTCCACTTCTACTAGCTAGACGACCCAACCGGGGTCACACAGGAGGGGGGGGCTGGACCCCCTCCTGCGGTTTCTGCCCGGGGTATTTTCATCGCGAGAAGGGTACAGCAATCCCTTCCTTCGCGACTAATGGTTTACTAAGAACGAGCTTTGCAGCGCGTCGCTTTCATCCTAGACCAGGATATATTTAGAGAGAAAAAAACTCACTCTGCCGGGACTCGAACCCACGACCTGGCCCTTAGCAGGCTGCGAGGTTACCCATTAGATCACCGGGGCGACCGGTTCATGTAGGCCACGCGCACATCATGGTTTGTCACTCTTCCTATCCATACAATTGCTGTGTGACACCCACACACGGCATTCTGCTGTGTGACACCCACTCACGGGAATTGTTATGATTGCCTAGCCCACGTATACCGCTTAAACATTGTACAATGATACCAAGGGTTTGGGCGGTTTACCTCCACGCCGAACGAGCGAGTTGAGACAAATTGCACATGCGCACCATCTTGAGTGGGCTTTTACATTGGATACAAAAAACAACAGGGACACAAAAACCATACCGCTGTGTTTTCGATTAGCGAGGAAGGCTTCAACAAGGTTTGCCCATTCCACGTTGAGAGGTTTTTTCATTCAGCATCATTGTTCATGTGCTGCTGCCAGGCACGCTCTGACTGGTCGCTCTATCCCCGAATTCGCCATCGGCCGTTGTCCAGACTGTTCGATTGAAGTATTATCTATCATGGATGAACATATTTTACTGTAGATAAAAAGCATACAACACTTGGGTCTATGTACCCAACGTCCGGTGTTGATCCGCATCTACAGCAGCTGGGGCGAGAACATGGAAAACACTTGGTTGATGATGGTGCGGCGACTATGAACGATGCATATCTTACCTGTGGTTGACAGTTAGCACTGCGGACTTTTCTCGTTGTTGATTCTACCAACTGATGGCGTGGAAAAAATACACGTGGCGAGTGATGCCTCGGTGTCTGTTGCACAGGCTGATGTGATGCAGGTACACTTGCGCGCGCGCGTGCCACTCGGCCGCGTTGTTGCGGCCGGACTTGCAGCTCTTTCACTCCAGTGCTTCTGTATGCATACGAATCTCGTGCGCATGCACACGAACCGACACATGCACAGCAGGATTGACACTGCTTTCCTCCAAGCAAGCAATACTCACTGCTGCTGTATCGAACCGAAAGAAGTTCGCGTCAGCGGACCGATAAGCGCGCACGACATTAACGGGAATGGATTACTATTGCCCGACTGCTGTCACCACCCGTGGGCACGTATATAGTAGCTGCCTGTGCAAGTGAGCAGTACTTTCATTTGAGCAATGCATATGATGAATACAACTGTTACCTGGGGGGGTTCCAAAACATTATTTGTTTGCGCAACGGGTGCGTCCACAACTGAAACTCATGGAGTAGTTAGACAACAGTAAGTGCGAGGAGGTTGGTAAGAGGTCCGGTCTAGTATCTGTACGATGTACGTTCGCCCTCGACTTGCTGCTCGAGCACTCCTGCCACCAGTTCGAAGCAGCAGACGGGGATCAATCGTCGCTGTTTTCGTAGCTAGCTGCAGGAGCTTTCGTTGGAAACATCAAAGATGTTCGCGTAGTGGCACAGGCCCCGAAAGACAGGACCCATGATGGTGTGATCTCTTCGGGGCGGACTGCTGTACATTAACAGAAAGACTGACAACCAGTTGGTTGCCGGGAAAGCACAGCGGCGCGGAAGCCCCTTGTGCGCAGCCTCCCGCGTCCGCTCCTCGCCTCCGTAGTTACCGGTGTTTTATTTTTTCTTCCAGATGTGTCTAGTACCGCCACAGCAGTCTGGCACCACCCCGCGGCGAATTAAGCGAGAAAGAGTTAGGCGGTGTTGTCTTGCATCTACCAGCAGCCAGCAAGTGTTTTTGTGCGGCTTTTCGAGTGGTGTTGCACCCGAATGCCGTTGGGGCGGGGTTGCTGCTGTTTGTCTAATGGACGAACGAAATCGACGCTTGAGTGTTTTTCAAGATGAAGTCGCAACATATGCGGGAAAAGTAGCGAGTTTTGTTGGTGGTCTGTCTTTCGGTGCCCCATGTGCGGTTTTGTCGCAAGGTGATGGACAACGATAGCTGTGGCCTACAAACAAACTCGCAACCATCGCTGGATCTCATTTGCCCGCGTTTGCCCGATCGCCGCTCCGTCTCTCTTTTCGTCGTCCTGGTTGTATTTGCACACCTCCCAATAAACAGGTGGTGCGGCTGCGAGGGGGAATGCAGCTTTTCGTCAAGACGCTCACGGGGAAAACGGTTACCGTGGACGTTGAGCCCGGAGATTCTATCGAGACGCTCAAGCATAAGATTCAGGAGAAGGAGGTGGGTCATTGGGCGATATGTAGGTGCCTTACCTCCCTACATTCGTTTTGCGGACGATGTTTGTCACACCGCCGTCACGCGTGTAAAAGGCGACGTCAACGGGCCTGACCCATTCGTGCTGGACGTAGTTCTTGACCCCTTAGTTACAGCGACAGAAATGGCGTTGTGATCGCTTAACACATGGATTTGGGAAAAGGTATCGATGAGATTGTTCGTAGGCGACGTTAGTTTAGCTTGAGCACGCCCCATCGCCCATCATATGGAACTTTCGGGCTAGGATCGTCAGGAGAGGGAGTGGTTCACGCCGTGACTCGCACAGTACTGACGTGTATTCTGTTGAAATTTGGGCAAACTGAAGCTGAGGAACGTTATTTGGTGCCGGGGCATATCTGCAAAAGCTGCGTTCTTGCTGCCGTACGTGTATGTGTGTTATTTGACTGTCTAGAAGAATGACTGCAGATGTGAAGCCAGCTTGGTTGTATGCATAGTATGAGCCTCTGCTCTTTCTCAACTCAGTCCGTGGAGCCCACGGTGCTTGCCGATCAAATGTACGAAACCTTTTGAGGCAAGTTGGCGACCAATTTGCAAAAGGGTTGCTACTACACTGCGTATTTGTAGACGTGAACGTTTGTTGTCTCTACCGCACCAAAGACGCAGGCGTCATGCAACGGTTTAAAAACTCGTCAGAGTCCCCTGTTCATGCGATCACCAAGTATCCCTGAATCAATGCTCTGTGCAGCGTATTCGCTTCCTGATATCTCTTGCCCCTCCTTGTTCGTCTTCCTTCGATGTTGCTGCTGGCTTCCCGTAACCCGCTGCAAACATGCCACCGACAACAACGACACAGGGCATCCCGGCGGAACAGCAGCGCATCATCTTCGGCGGGAAACAGCTGAGCGGGGCGGACAAGCAGCTCAGCGACTTCGAACTCGAGGAGGGAAACACGTTGCACCTCGTGCTGCGCCTGAGGGGGGGACCGGAAGACGACGTCCCCTCCTTGCGGCGTTCTGGCTCCAGCGAGGAACGGCGAGGGCTGGGATGGTTCGGCTGGAGGACCACGCCTGCTGAGGCGTAAACATTTTCTCAGTCTTGTTCGGTTGTCCTCGTAGTTGCGTCGGCGGGTGCTGCGCGCTTTTTGGTGTGTGTTGTGGGGGGCGGGGAGAATATGCATATCGGGTTGATGTGATGGGTAGATGGTGGAGCCGGGAGGTGGGGGGCGGGGGCGGAATAGAGAGTGAACACTAGGATTTGGCCTTTTGTGGTAGTTTTTTCTTTCTTGTCCCTCTCGTGGAAAGATGTGTGTTACAATTTTGTTGTAGTGTGCCTGCTAAAGAGAGTCAGCAAGCTTTTGCCTTGTTGATTACACTCTTACCCTCGCCAGATTAAGTGCTCGATCACTGGCAACCTGATGCTGGCCTGCTGGAACCACGAAACATACAAGATAGCCCCATGTCTGCACGTCTTTCGGTCACTCGAGGCATGTTGCATGCTGTTGGAGTGAGATTCCAAGACCACCTGTGGAGTAGATCGTCGACAGCGCCTCATTGGGACATGGGTCTTTGTGACGTCGTGACGTCCACACCACACGTGTTTCCAGAGGTATTTGTAGGATAGCGCCCAGACACTTTTATTACGTCGACATGAAGAGCACAGAGGAGGCCTGACGTAAAACATGAACCAACTTCGCTGGTGTATAAACAGCATTCGCTAGTGGTCGGAGGTGTTTCTAGTCCCCCCTGGAGAGGCAAGAGGATACAACAATATTTCACGGCGCGCGACAGACCTCCCCAGCAGCTTCAGGCAGGGAAAAAATGGCTCAGGGCCCATAGGTAGGGCTAGGCGGGGACGTATTATATAAATTTTTCAATTTTCGCGCGAAGCGCGAAAAACTTGAAGAGGCGTTTTCCCGGTCGGGCTGTTTTTTGGCTGTTTTCTTCCACTCCTCCCGATCTGCAACTGTTTTGGGCATATGTCCTTGAAATGTGAGCCGATTTCGAAACGGTTTCTTGCACTGCATTCCCAGGCACGTCGTGCATACCGTCCAACTTATTAATATTATTGTTGGAAGACGGCAGATGGTGCCGGAAAAAAAAAACACACACACAGCCTGCCCGCCCGTGAGGCCTCGTCACGACCCTCACGGGCGGGCAGGCTAAGAACACATAGGTGGCACAATCTATCTCACAGCCTACATCTGGCAGACAGTGCCCTCGACCCTTCGANATAGGGGGCACCGCGATGATTCACGGGGCCCCTCCTTGCTGTGGGCGCCATCCGCAACTGACCGTCATGAATTTTTGTTGGCGGTGGGATGGTGATGAACCATCCCCGGCTAAGGCCTGAACTTTTTTTCGTGTGCTGGTAGTGCCTGGGTTTCATTCAGTTTTTTTGTTGTTTCCACTAGGGAAAACTTTCAAAAAGCCAGGAAGCGGGGATGGCCCGAAAAAATCCCCCCCCCTCGTAAATAGTTCTGATTGGGCTGAAAATTTCAGCATAGGGTAAAGGAGGGTGGAGAAATGCGAATCCGTCGTCAGATTTTCCAAATTCATCGATGGCACCGAGTTACAGCTATCCCAGTACGCCAAAAAGGCGGGGATGGAAGGCTACCATCCCCTCCCCTCGAAACCTCAAAAAGCAGGTTCTAAGAGCTATAAGTCTCAGTACCGGGTAATTTTGGGGTGGGCATCACGAATCTTGAATCAGAATGGTCCACTTCGCTCTTGGTTTTGAGAAAAGGCGTGGAAAATTGACTTATTCCTGAAGGATTCAGCACAATCTCGTTTTCTTGAAATCGACCGGCGCACCTGAGTTTTTGTCTGATCAACTTTCTGAGTGGCTCTACCCCCCCTAAATCGGCCAAGCGGAATCGAATGCCGAGGTGAACAACGAAAACAAATATCGGCAACACGACGAAAAAAAAAACGAAAGCAATGCCGAACCGATTTTTTTTGTTCAACTTTTTAGACGCCGGTTTTGAGCGTCTGTTTGAAAGCGAGACAAAAAAACGATTTCTGAAAAATTCGTTTTTTCAGCTGGGGAGAGCCCATGACGATCAGTTGCGGATCGCGCCTGTGGGAGCCGCTCTTTGAGCACTCCCTCTTTCGTCCGTGTGAAGGACGGTCGTCTACCTCCCGTGAAGTTAATACATCACCAAAACAGTCTCACCCG